TTCACTACAAGACAATCGTCAACTCGTAATCGATAACGCTATTATCAAACTACCCTATGGCCAGTATCCTGTTGGTTTTTCTCTGTTCCGTAACCTAATCTCTTTCATTCGCCATAATCGAGGCTGCTGCGTGCCGTAGCCACCTTTCTTCAAAGAAAACGAACGAAAAAAAAGAAAAGAAAAGAAAAGAATGAACGGCGTGTCATTTATGGAGTTAACATTTCTAAAACTCGCCGGTTCCCGCTCGACGGCGCGGTGGAAAGAGCAACGGGACGGTGAACGAGGGGGTAGCAGAAGAAGGGAGGGAGGTAGAAGCAAAAAAGATAGAAGCGCCGGAGCGAGTTTGGTGGACGGGGGTAATGGCAGTCTTGGAATTGCGTTATCAATCTCCGGACCCCTCAGCCCCTCGGCAACCCACCCCCTTACCACCCTCCTACGACCACCACGCTCCACTCCATTCCATTCCGTTCCGTTCCGTGCCGTGCCACCCCTTCTTCGCTCTGAAACCATCCTAGAAACTCACGGAACCATCCCGCCTTTACTCCATGCAGGAGAAACCCTACTACCACCCCGTGAAGCACACAGAGCTTCCGGCTATGTAACCGCGCATGCTCTATCCCCACTTCTTTCGAATACGGTACTCTTTCTCTCTCCCTTTGCTTCCTTCCGATGTATATGCATGAAACTCACACTCTTAAAGCTATGTCTTTTTACCGTTGGCTCTCTTACTGAACGCCTTTATTACGTTTTATATTTTATCTGGCCCGTTTCTAGTTTCGAATTGCACGTTTTTCCACGAGTTTCGTTAAATGGTCCTGATCAAGCCCCATGGGGGTCCCAGCCGCAGGACGGTGGGTTCATTTCCGGCGACCTATTGCTGGAACTCTCGCGACGTGTTCGAGAGAAACGTAGATAATAGTATTATTAAATGTACAAATTAATTCGGTGCCTTTTCTTATAAAAAGTTGCGTTAATTTCAATTATTGAAATAATCGTCATTGGTGATTTCTAATTCATAGAAGCATAGGAAAGTATTTCAATTTAAAATAATAATTAAGAAGGTGTTGAATAAAGGTTTATGGTAGAAATTTTCACAAGGTGTTCAAAAAAGGCAAACAAACTTGCTTCTATTTTGGCAACGAGAACATTTTCCCGGTCTCAGACGGGGCTGTCGTATAGGGGTCGTAATGGGCAAAGACAGCGGTTAGGTACACGAAAGTACCATTATCTACTAGTCGTATTACTTTCAATCTGATAGCGTTCCCATTGATTCTCTCGATCAACGTTTACTAAGGAAACAAAATCTACGCTAATGGAATTACAATGTAAAAGATTTTTAATTAAACTTCACTTCTGATTACCCATCTCTATCGTTGATGAATTTCACAGAATGGAGTGACAGTGGGTGCAAAGAAGGGTGAGATACGATCACAAGACGAGACAGATAAAAGGGCAAACTCTATCGACGCAAGCTGGACAGTAAGTTAATGCTATCAACATGATGGCATGCAAGAAGGAAGAAGACAAAATGGCGATGGGTGAAAGGACGTACGAGTAGAGGCAAAAGGGCGGCTTTCCTATACGCTTACGAAATGCCGCGACCGGGCTACCAAGTTGATAGCGTATCGCTTTCCACGGGACCCAAAGGTTACCGAATCGTTTCGAGACTATCTTAATGGTTGGATAGATCGTTTGATACTATGGGTGAGTCGTAAAGGCTATTGCTCTGCCCTCCGTCCTCTCGTTCCACGTCTTTTCAACCCCTCCGCCACCCTTACAGCTAAAGGAAAGCTGGCTTAGCGCCACTCGGATGTGTCTTCTCCCTTCTGTCTCTCTATACACACCTCATTTATACCCCTCCCGAGAAATGGCGACATTGAACGTCGCTTAAGTCGATCGACAATTGCGTTCGATATCCAGCAATTAATTGACGAGTGTCTGTTTGTGTGATTAAACGAGAAACATCTCTTGAAATTTAAAATTGTGCCTTTCGTTCACTGCATGAAACTCGAAAGTATAAAATCCAAACGTATTCATCGCAGAAGCATTATATAAATATAAAATTTCCGGGAAATAAAAGCACGAACGGAATGTAGGTAGACGATAACCGTAATAACCCGAGCGTACGGATCGTCCGTTATTCTGACGTAAAAACGAGAATTAGTGAAAATCATTCCGCGTGCTAATGTATTGTTAATCGCTTGTCCATAATTCCACGGCCGTTCGCGGTTCTTATCTCCGTAAATATTTCGAAATTTCCGCGCTACGCGAACGGTCCCGCTAGTATTTAATGCGATTTCCGTGGAACATATTTAAAGGCGTTAACAATAATTAAAAATTATGTTTACGGCTGGGGTTTAGCAGAGAGCTCGCTAACTAAACTGATATTCGTTGAAAATATTCGAAAAATCGATCGAACAGGAACTAGTAGTTGGTTCGAAGACGTTTCCAAACAAATACAACATCCTCTTTCCATAGGTTTGGTTAATTTTTAGACATACACCAGTATTTTATCTCATCTCATTGGTCGTCAGTTCTGAAATACACTCTAATTCCCGCCTCATCGGTTCAACCCTCCGTTCCACGTCGAAATATTCGCGAATCCCAGACTCCTCGGTTCGGTTTGGGTTAGATTTTGGTAAGGTTAACTTAATCTTAGAATGTATAAATATTCCGTCTCGTCAACACCTAAATATCCGCAGATTTGGTTAGGTTTGGGTTAGAGTTGGGTAAGATTTGATTAATCTAACGCAATCCAATAACTTTAAGAATCTGTTGTATACGAGGACCTGTATGAATCACTGAAGCTAAAATTTCATATTTCAACTCCTCCCTCTCCCCATCCGCCATGTTTCATCTGGATTCAAAATAAGTAACAAGAACCGGTCGCAAGGGTTCCAAGCGAAAAATACGAGAGAAATTTGCGACGTTGTTTCCAACGGTAGAAGCTGGTATTGAAACTAATTAATATCATTCTCCCCTCTTTTACAGTGACATTTATATACGCACGGAACAATGCGAGCGGCGTGTAACTTAATTAAGGCAACGACGCAGACCTGACCGTGGCTTTGCGGCTACCGTTTCCCTATATCCGGTTCGCGCGGTTATTATCTAGTCTCCTCTCTCGCGCCTTCTACGAACCGTGCGAATACACCCGCCGTGGAATTGCGTTTGTTGCATTGCTGTCCGTGTACTCGTTCAACCGCGTTCCGTTTCCGTCTTCCGTTTAAATCCCTTGTCCCCGAGAGAGAATGGTCGAATATTCATAGATGTCGTGGAAGATTAACCGAAGGAAATTAAGTTTTCGATGGGACAGGATCCAATTTCGCGTTATTGAAACCGAGAGATTATTCATGGTACTCCCCCTGGTTCTTGTCTAGGAGGATTATTGGGAGGGAAAATGCCTTTCTTTCTCGCGAAAAGCTCGTTGAAATATTTGGAACATGAATTTTTAGCGCGTAGAATAAACATGAGATAGTACTGTGCTCGTAGTTCCAATATTCAAAGAGGATCATTTGCAATATCAACTTTCTCATAAGTTCTTGCTCAACTAGCCATCCTACTTCGGTAGGCGATTAATGAATTTCATCTTCTTTTATTTTCTCACAGCAACAACTATACTGTGTTTCTGATAACGATGATATTTCACGAAAAGGGTCGATTATGCGTTGTTTCCAATCAAGCGAATCACGTTCCGCGAATAAATTAGCAAACCACACGGTTAACGAGTTCCCCAAAATGATCGTGTCAAGACGAACGAGAGGAGTCGGTCTAAACAACCGATCGAAAACGAGTCGGGCACTCCCTAGTGTCCACGGTGTCTTGGTATCATTAGCAAAATAAAGCCATTAACGAGGCCAAAAGGCGACAGAGCCGTTTTTTACGGTAACCAGAAGAAGAAGCGAAAAGACGAAATCGTAAAAGGCATTTATTTGGCCCGGACCTGATCCGCAGATCGCGAATGCCTCCGTGTCGGCAAGCTACGAGACAGAAGACATTAAAATGTCAGAAGTCTGATAGGTAGCTCGTACAGCAGTGCGCATAATTGCTTGATTAAAAGTAACGACTCGAGCGTAAACGTAATTTACGGCCAATCACTGGTACCACCTACTTTAACGCGTGCGACGAAGAAGCACATTCTTCTTACCTCTTTTTTTTTCATCTTGTTTCCTTCTTTCACCCTGCGCTCGTTTCTTTCCCTCATCCCGCCCCTGTCATTCAAAAAGGTGTCAACGACGATCGCTTTTACGAGATACTTATTAATTGTTACTGCGCTTTTACGACGGCATAAAAGCGCGGTCTACGACCGTTTGAGTGGGCACCGCCGACGTGTTAGGGGGATTCCCCCGTTGGATTATTGCCTCCGATGAGGCTATACGACGCACATATAGGTTACACACGACGCCGCCGACTGCCTCCTTGTTGATTCGAAGACGTGAAAACAATATAATGGAAGGAAAGATACATGTATACTTGGGGGAAGAGAAAACAATGAATCGGAGAACTGGTTTGGATTTTCAACACCGTTTTAGGATCCGTTTTTTTATGGATCTAGGATTTCATTGTTTTACTGTGTTATTAAATATGTTTGATTAGACAAACTTCAAGAAAATTACAATTGTAAAGGTTGGTGTAATTTTTAAATAGTAATGCTGAAGTGATCAAGGGAACGATGAAGGGGTTTACAAGTATCCACCTGGCTGGCACAACAGCATGTGGTGCTACATATGCCGCAGGGGCCAGTGAATAGCAGCACAACCTATCGTTGTACCAAGCGCTTTTTACAAACTATTGATATTTCTAGTGAAATAAATTTGGAGGAGCTACCGACCTTTTCTTCTACTTCCTTTTGTCAAAGGTTCACGCAAAGACAGTGTATGTGAAACCTTGTGGAACTCATCTCATAGGCTCAGTCTATCTTTATCCATGAGAATGATCTATTCTTAATTTGTTACTACTCGTTAGTTATAACCTGACAATACTTATCTCTTATGTTTCAGAGATTAGAAAATCTACACTGGCTACAAAAATCGGAGCAAAACAAAAGATCGTTAGAACAACTGCAAGAAACAGTGCTTTTGGCACACAAAAAAATGGAGAATAATTATGGACAGGGAAAACTATGCTTCAAAAATCAGCACCTAAGGAAGCAAAAAAAAAAAAAAAACAGCAATCTACAGAAAAAAAAGAACAGTGAATTAAGTGTCGCGCGTGTGAAGGGGATGAAACCAAAGAGTTGTAGAAGTAGACGTTAGAGGATGATGGCGTGGTTGGAGCTTTAAGCTTTGGATAAGAACGACAGAGAGGCGACGGTACGAGAGTAAAAAGAGAGTTTTTCTTTTCCTTTGGCTCGTAGCCCCCGCCACGGCTTATCTCCCTATTAAATCCAGCAATTTTAATACGCGTTTCTCGGCAATTTCCGTGCTACACGTTCCACCGTCGACTTAGCACCCCTACCTCACTTGAATAGCTTCTTCTACTCCCTCTCTCCTTAGAGATCGTTTCTCTCTCCACCCCGTCTGCATCTACCCCTCTCTTCCTTGCCGTCCTTTAAATAAACTTTATTTTTACGGTGCTATTTAAAGCAATTTCTGATTTCCCTTAATTCATTACGACGCCGTTCCGTATAGCCCTCTTAACACGCCACGGGCATCGCTGGCATTTCTCATTTCCCCTAGTCTGCACGGCCACCAACAGCTATGCTGTGCTCGATGTCGCGATTCTAGAATTCTTTCAAATTTGATTTTTAACAAGAAGAGGGTACTGCTCCCTTCATTCCATGGCTCTGGATGATTATTTTTTGTACGATGAAGCAAGGCTCATCTGTATAATGGCAGTATAATGGTAGTAATTAAAATGAAGATGTTTATGCAATCATAACATGTAGATATAATGCACTTTCGTCTATGAATCAGAGGTCTCCATTAACTTTCGGAAATTCATCGTAACGATCGACGATTCAAGTAGAGACCGCGAAATTTTTACCGCATTCGCGGATAGGAGGAACGTTAAGGGTATAGCAATAATCGGTCATAAAGATGTGGGTTAATAAACCGATCGACGACTGGTGGCGGCACCGTCGTCGGGGCTTACAAGCGGCGGGCAAACTTTCTTGCCGGGAAATTGAGTCGGATTTGAGTTATTGGAATGGTGTTCGTCCCTTGCACAAGAATCGCCCTGGACTATAGGAACCCCCTCTGTCTATTTCGACCCTCCTCCTTCGCCAGGCATCTATCGCCATTACCGGCTAGCCAGGGGGTGGGAAACTTGTAAATAAAAAGGAGTAACGATGACGTAACCAGCGTTTCGCGGTTGCTGGGGTACCAGCCGCCCTTCTCTCTATCGATCTGTACAACGAGCATGGCGTCAATAACAATCGATTATTGTTTCAAGAGCTGCTCGTAATAGGCTCTCGAATGTCTTTATTTTTCTCTCTTTCTTCGTTCCTTACGACCAACTCACTGGGTGTTCCAGTAATCACGGTATAACTGGCAATTTCTTTTCAGGAAACACATTGAAATATTAGAATACAATTTTCGTGAAATTAACAATTCGTACGTAAATCGAAGGGTTTACATTTTATCACAAAAATGTATTCTCCAATTTCACTTTATTTAAGCCATAATTATCATGACACCCAGTGTATACACCCACTATTTCAAGCACTACTTTCCTACAGTCCACAGAAAACGATAAGCAACTTTCCAACTTCCCTATCTCGCGGTGTGTTTCGCCAGGCAATTATCGAAACGGATGAAGCGTGTTTTTGTCCTTCGCCAAAGGACACACTTTTAAGAGGGTAGGCTCGAGAGGCTACCGAATAACGTAAAGATAAGTGTCGTTGATAATAAAATCACGATGATCCTGAATTAAAAGGAGAGTGGGCAAGGAGGGGTCAGAGACAGTGGATTTCCCACGTTACATCGTCGCTGCTCCCGGGGCAATTCGTATCATGTCAGGATCATTATACATTCATACTCGGTCGGCGGGGTTAAGCCGAGAGCAAGTTTCTACTTTGCAATAAATTCGACCTTGCGAGGCAATTACTCTGGCCGGCCATAACGGACGATAGTCTAAGATTAAGAGAGAAAAGGAACCTCCCCGTTCGCCATAAAGGTAAGAAAGAACAGGATAGCACGCCGTTGGTCGCAGGTAGGCAACGCGATAAATATGATTTTTGTGTGAAACCGTCTGGAAGACGCGGGATTTGATCACCAAGGGTGGTCCCTGTGCTCGTACGTCACACCCGGCATACAGTCCTCTTCCCTTCTCCACGTCTTTTGACTACGTTCCACTCCCCTTCGTCCTCCAGAAGATCATCGAGGCCCATGGACAAGCAAAGACATTCAAGGTCCCGCGCTGTCGTTCGTCACTTTGCCCCGAAAGGGGACCGACCACATCCTTTCTCTGCTCTCCCCTTTTGTCCATCTTTTCCTTTCCCTTTGTCTACCTCGCCTCTTTCTCCGACGAGGACGCATCTTAATCTAGATATACCCAACCTCTGATCTCAGTCTCTCCGCTAACAACTAATCCTATCTCTTACCTAAACCATCCCTCCCTACACCCTGTCGCCCCTCGCGTCTCTCTGTTTCTCGCCCTTATGTACGCGCGACAGTAGGGCCGACAGGTTTGTAAGACACGATCGTTGTTTCGCCGTCTGCAGTCGAATTCTTTCCTCTCCTTTCACTGTGTCACCGCTCTATTTACGAGCGATAGACAGACGGACGAACTGGTAACGATCCTTGAAACCAGTGCTGTCCAAGGGTTTGCCCTCGTGACAGTGGTCTCATCTGTCCTGGTAATTTTGTATAGCGCACAGCGGCACTCTGATCAATCATGAAGACTAAAGAAAACTAAAAGAAAATAGCCTGAATCGTTCAATAAATTCCTTTTTTTTACGATGAAACTTGGTGGATCGATTCGCGGCAGACATTCTAACGAGTCATGATCAAAGGAACGAGACTGTCGCGGATTCAGCGAGCCGGATTTTATGAGCCGATAGTAGAAGCCTCGCGAGGAAAGTAAGACGATGGTAAGATAGGCGCGAATGTGACCGAGCAATCCGCGTGAAACTGGATTTATCGAGAACCCCCTCGTGCTCGAACCTCTTCGATAGAGCGATAAATACAAATTCCCTTGGATCCTGGATAATGATGGTCGTATATCAGCACCATCTATGCTATTTATCCAAGGGACGGAAAGAAAGAAACGGGTAATTAAGAATCTGGTCAGAGAACACGAAGACTGGTCACTGCTCGAGGATAGTTTCTTTTTTTTCCCTTATGGAAACGCGAGCAGCATCGCATAAAAATTTGAAACGAGATTCCAGGAGTACCACTCTTCGGGAAGTTTTTGCCATCCATTGTTCCTACGAACGTTCGCTACGACCATGTCCGCTTCGAGATTCCCGAAGATTTACGAAGCAAGTATAAACATTGAGAAGATTACGGGAGAGCTCATTTTAAGTTCTAACGAGCTCCCCTCGGCACGGTGTCGCCGGCATTATCAAATAATTGAGAGATGTAACTCAGCGCTATCTACGCTGCACCCTCGGTGCCGTGTCCCCCTATTCTTGTCACTCTTTACTCCGCAAAAAACCCCTTTAAACTACATCGATCCTCTCTTTCCCTCCTATTACAACAACCCTGGTCCACGATAACCGCTTACCCTCCAAGACTTTTCTTCCGCACCGAGTTTACCTGTAATTTTGATCCTAAGTTGTGGACACAGACTTTGATCTTGAAGATAAAGGGACATTAAAATTATCCAGAGGAGTTTCAATGTTTTAAAATTCAATCACAGACTCCTTTCATCGATAAGAAGTTCGTTTTTAAGACTTTACGGGAGATTTTTATTATGGGTTAAGTGTCCCAGTCAAGAAGGGGTAGAGGGCAGCAACGTCGGTAACCCCCCATTGAATTCAGCGTAACGAAGATGCCGCAGCCTCGTGGCGCTCCAACGAAATATAAACAAGATCGGCGCAGCTTAATGCGTCCCGTACGTCACGTGGAAAGATTAAACAGTTAATAAGAATAAGAGTCTCGGAGCGGTGTTCTCCCCCTTTATTCCTCGAACGGGGTTTCTTTCGTAGGTCGCCGCCACGGCCACGGTTAAGAGTAACAGAGACAGAGTGACGAACAGGCGGTGGGAGGGGGCACACTTCCACGGGTGGTTGGAGGGAAATGGCGGCCATCTTTCCCACGGGCTCTTCTCGAGAACCAATCGCCTTTCTCCTACGAGCATTAAGGCGGCAACTCTGGCTGAAGAATTGCCTCTGCCACGTTAGACACATTTTTCTCGCTTTTCCTTTATTCTCTTCTCTGGCTCCAGGAGTCCCGGGACTCTTTCCTCTCTCTTCGTCCCGACTAAGTTTCACTCTCCTCTCTTTGTCTTTTTCCTCCTGTACCATCTCCGGCGCGTCGTCGTCGTTTCGCATCTCTTATTTTCTTTGTTCAGCCAGACCAAACCCTACTGCTGCATCCTTCTTCCTCTCTGCTTTTCCTTTTGCCGCGGGCTGCCTCGTCGTTCTTCTACTTTTCTTCTTTCTTTTTACTTTTTTTACTTCCTTTCGCCCGCTGTTACGTATAGCTATAGCACGGAGGGGTATAATAGTGTTCATCCCTGAAGTGAGCTCCATCGAGCGGCAGGTGGCTGACCTTAATAACGCGCCACGCAACGTTTCATGGGGGTCTCTTTCGAGCGAAAAGAAAATCGTGAGTATGCCATCTATGAGACGTCAGATCTAAGATTTACAAGGTAACGCAGAGTTATGGGGGATTCACCGGCGCGGTGAAAGCAGGCGCTCTATTTGGGGAGGAGCGAAGGGTGGCAGGTCGAAACTTTCGAACCACCCCTATGGGAAAGTTCGAACAATCGATGCTCCAGGTTATTTCGACCATGTCTAATAAACAGATCGTAGTATAACGAATGGAAACAGTAAGGATGGTGTGTGGAAATGTCCCAGATACGTCGTAACCGTTTAAATCATCCCGGGCTCTTGTAACTTTCTTTCGAGTTTTATTTTATTGTCCTCTTATGGAGGATCGCTGTCTATTTGAAAGGTTAGCTGTGGTTCTAACTTTTATTTGGTCAAGTAACTTTACCCAGGATGAAGAGAGAGGTATTGACGAGTGCTGTTGGGAATCCCCTGTACATTTAAGAGGTCGTAAAAAGAACCATATACCATACAGGTTGAACAACGGAAAAAAGTATTAACCTCCTGAACCGAAATACATTTTGTGTGCCGGTAACAGGTCATAGTTGTTACCATCACTTTTTGATATGGTTTAAGGTTACCTTAAGTTTATAGTTTCTAAAGATGTGAGTCAGTTGAATATTTGATATTTCCCCCATTTTCGTATACACTAAAACCCCTTTATAAAGTATTTATGGCATTATAAAATTTTAAAGAAGTAAGTTACGCAATTAAGGAGAATAACGCGCAGGCCAACGTAGAAACTATTTTTTGTTGAGTTGGACGGTGTGTTGGCTGGCATACGTGTATAGTGCCGATACGATGATATTCCAATACACAATGGTTTTATTCATTTTATGGCTTCTTTTGCTGCCACTGTAGTAGAATATTTCCAATTCATGAACCAGTTTACTGATCCGGTAACGAGCGCCGCGCTACTGTAGATAGTCAAGTAGCATTACTTGAAGTTAGAAAACATCCGACTGTATGGTTATTGATAAAACTTTCGTCTGACGATATGAAACAATGAAAAAGTAAAGATAATAATTGAAATTAAAATATCGAAGAAATAATTTAACCACTGAATACCAAGCAAACTTAAACCTGATCAATAAAGTATCTCTTTCAGTCATCATAAACACGTAAATGAAATTTATATACTTCCAAAAGTATACTTTGGTAATAAATGAATGTCATAAATTTATCAATAAAATTCTTACATTCGGTACAACTGTTGCCGTTGATATAAAATAAGATTTATATGACCACAGTGTTTTACAGCGAGGGTTGCCACAACTGTAAAACCCATAAAGCCCAAAAGGTTGACGACATAAACACCAGCAATCAATTGCTATTATGCGATTGTAACTTGATTCGGAATAACGAGCGACAATCATTGAAAAATGGATAAGTAAAATGTCAAGCCCTTTTCTGTCTACGCTTTCTGGTTGGTAAAGCTGTAGAGGAGGCAAGGGAAGTTCCTTTTCTGACTTTATGGCAGGCAAGTTGGCTGTGCTGTACCGGCAGCTCTCCGGCAAAGTCGTCAAAGACTTTTACGAGCGGGTAAACGGGATTTAAAGTGACGATGATGCAACCTCAAGGTGCTCACTTTATCCTTGACGGCCTCATAAATGTAACTGATGACATTGCCAGATACGTTTGACTTGTCTTCTCTTTTCTCAACGCCGCTACCCATAGAAATACCATGGATTCTGTGTTGATGAAAACAGCACGAGACCCCACTTACGTTACTGCTCGTAAAAATCAAAGGGTCCATTGAACTGGATTAACTTTTCGCGCCTTTCGACATCTGCCACGCTTCCGTTATAAACTTCTCTCTCTCTTCGACTGTGAATCGTTTTATTACCACTTTTACCATTTCCTTTTATTACTAGTAAATTAGCGAATTCACATTTTCCCTGCGTTACTGCATATTTGTATAAGTAATAGGTGAGCAATTTAGTACTTTAAATTCGGAAAATGCCTGCAACATAAATTTTCATCCACCATCGACTGAAACTGTAATGTTACTAGAATTTCAAGTAGTACATATTAAAAATCTCTATGGAGGACTACACCCTGTGGCGCCACCTCCCAAAAGAAGCCCAAAGCAAAATGTGCCATACTAAAAAACTAATTCACAGCCGGTAACTTTAAAGACGATCAAATATTAATCTAACTACAAAATTTGATTCAAAAATGAATACCTAAATAATTCAACATATGTAACTAAAGTAGAAAAATTAATTACAACTATGTAAGTTTGCGTTACATTTGTATACATGTAACCAAGTTAACAAAATTCTATATCACATGAATTTGCTAATAAAGATTACTTGAAACTTTCCATATACTAAAATTCAGTTCATAAATTTAAGCGTGAAAATTATGTAGTACCAAAATATTGCTTCTATCGAATTAATACAGACATATGTACTGCAGCAAGTATCAGAAATGATATAAAACTTAACAATCGTGGTATAAAAAGCGTCATAAAATTGGGGTAGTACGAGGAAATAGAATTTGCTGCTAGCACCATCTACGAGTACTAGCCGTCAACACGAAACAAAAGCTGGCATGGTCAAGTAGCACAGGAAGTTTCGTCAGTGAATAAAAATCCAGCAAGACTGGACATGCCTTTGTTTTCGAGGGGTCTTGAATTTGTGCCTCAATAACGAGCGCCATCTGCTCTATCCTACTATAAAAATGTGAAACACAGTGCACTGCAACAGTCTAACGCACATTGACGTTGTACCGACTGTGCTCTCGACATACAGACTTAATCTCACCTGGGGATCTCTGGGATCTCCAAAATCATAACCGTTGAGAACAAAAATATGTCTGGTCTTTCGTATCTGCAGTCACAGGTTTTGTTGAAGAAGAAAGTATTTCGGTAACTTGACGACAGATGGCCCAATATTCCTCGTCCTGTCGCTGGCGTGAAACGGTGCAAATTCTTTTCCGTTGATTTACTATCGAATTAAAACTGACAATTATTGTTATTGTACCGTCATATAAGGAGGTAACAGATAATAAATTCGACCGTAAAACATAAACTAGTGTGGCTCCGTTTTGTAAGGCTGGTTTAGTGCTGAGTCGCGTGCAACGGCGCTCGTTAAAACAGCCGTAAACCGACGTAACCGTCCGCAGTGTAGCTTCGTCCCAGGACGACCAACTTCTCTTGATCTGATATTCCCGTCAAGAATCTTCTTTTTAACGTATCATTTCTGTTGTTGATATTTAGTTATAGGCTACGCTATATGTTTCTTGAATACTATTATGGTATCAAATTTTGTTAATATTGTTAAATTTCGTACTGCAATCATTACACTCCGTGGACATTACAGGGAGTTTGTGTTTTACCGCCTAAGTAGTTGCTGTCGGTCTAGTTTGAGGATCGACCGTAAGAGTGACTTAGTTACTAATGCTTTGAGGATTTTATCAGTGACTACAAATCCAACAAGACTAGACATGCCTTTGTTTCCAAGAGGTTTTGAATTTATGCTTTAAGAACGAACGCCATCTGCTCTTAAATTACTTCGATATCAGACTATATCCCATCACTTAGTCAGTACCTCAAGCTACTTGTCATATCACAGCAATAAGAGAAGTAGCAAGGGGAAATTAATACAACCCTTCCCTCAACACTAAATATGACAGCATCACCACCAAACCCGGCGGGGCCGTTAGGGCTGCTGGCGTCGGGATTGGGGGCTCCTAGCGCTTTTACACGCGGCCAGACAAGCTGGTCCCGGTTGCGACCCCCGGTGTTGGCGACACTATAGGCAGCAGGGGGAGGTCTCAATTTGGACCTCCCCAAGATGAGCACCTGTGTGCCAGGCATAGAGGGCTCCGGAGTAATATACATAAGGTCCCAGAGCCCTCCTTTAGCGCCAGTGTCGGTCGCCGTGGGGTTTTAGTCAGTAGGAATCTGACACTCCATACTTAAAAAAAAAAAAATATTATCTGCAGACATTGATTCAAGTAAAGATAGCTGGCTGCGGCGCCGTTGTCAACCGTTCGACCTAGAACGAAGTGTAACCATATCAGTCCGACAACGACAGGTGCGCATCTACCTGTTAAACATACATATACCCTTATGTCATTTTCTGTGTTTATTTAATTTGCTGTATTTATTTTCTTAGCTTATTAAACAAACTCATAAGGGGGATGAACTTGATGATTTTATCCCTTCTGTGTGCCTTACCTCACTATTCTTCTATTTATTACTTTACCTCTCCTTACAGGCCCTGCGGAAACAATAATAAAATAAATAACAAATAACAATATAATAAAATAACTGTTCAGTCTTGTGCTGTTTCTGACTGATTTATAAAAAAAAAAAAATAGAATCAAAGGGAGTAAAAAGTTGGTGTTTTCGGATGTCAGGCTGACAACGAGGTGCGGTAAAAGAGGGACTGGTAAAACAGGTACGATTATCGTACCGACTGTGCTCTCTGCATGCAAGCCTAATCTCATCTGGGGGTGTCTGGGACCCCCTAAGTCATGATCCCCCGAGAACAAAGGCATGTCCAGTCTTTCGCATCTGTAGTCACTGATTTCATTCTGCTAAAACAATTTGAAAGCAATAATAATACATACTTTTATATGGTTCTAAAATTAATATAGCTATGTAAGTATAATTAAATATCTAATACATATTACAATTGTCTTATTGTCTCAAACAGTTATAACTTATTTTATTTGAAAAAAACTTTGTGCAAATAATTTTACCAAACAATAATGCAGTTACTAGAAAAAGGAGCTACTTTTTAACCGCTAATTACACCCTTTTTATAGCTACGATAATCAATGTAGTAATGACGCGTTACTGTTTAAGATCTACTAAATTTAAACCAATTTTAATCAAACCTAGTTCCTTAAGACTGTGAATGTGAAGTAAGCAATATTTTTAATTTTCAAGAAGTGTTTAATCACTTCAATGTTTCAAAGAGTTGATGTAAAATATTTTAATAGCACATGATAAAAAATAGGCCTTTAAGAACCAAATAGTGGCATCTCGCGCGAAAAGGGACATATAGACCATCCCCGTATTAACTGCTTCCGAAAAAGCTACGGAAACGGTGTGGTATATAGTCGCGTCGCGTCGGTTCGATTGACCAAATATAGATTTACCGCCGGAAACAAATGGGTGTCTGAAAAGGATATAAAAGCCTCTTCCCAATGGCCCTTCGTTCCATTCAAAAATCAATTCTGATTTATAGAGCACGCTTACCGTGATTTCGTGGCCGAGAAAAAAAATCCATATTTAAATCGTCGTCTGATTCGCGTTGTGCCTCATACGCAGCCAATCGTGAGAGCGTAATGGCCTCCGTTGAAGCTGGTTAAGTTCATGGCGCCGCTACTAGATGTCGTCCACCTCGAAGCTCGTAAATCGTCGGGGATTCCCGCCCATTGCATGTCGGTAGGCGGTGCCCAGGGCATTTTGTGACGTCAGTCGCATCCCCTCCAAATCCCTCTGGTGGCTCTCCCACCATTATTCCACCACCACCACCACTGTATACCTTTTCTCTCTCAGTACCACTACCATTACCAGCAGCACTTTCGGCACCGTTCTCTTTCCCCACCCCCATAGAATTCATCGAGTTTCTACGTATACTACAGTAGAACTCTCTCGGGTGGGCCAGCATCCCCGGTCATCTTCATAAATGCGAGTCGGCCGTTTGAAATGGTATTGAGGCTAATTTGAGCGGCGCTTATGCGATACAGTGTTTGTTTACTGCTTGCTAAAGCGGCCCGGATTAAATATAAAACAGTTGACAGAGCGTAGACGTTGAGCTAGACAGAGTGGCGCTAGCAGAGGAGCCACAACCAACGTCCGACGGCTGGCCAAGACTCGTATGTCCCTCGAAAACTGTCCAACTAATCTTAGTCAGTGTTTTCTTTCCGTGGTGGAAAGTTTTCTTTCCATTCGCCCTCGATCTTCCAAGATCTGCAACCCAGAATCTTGCAATAAGTATTCGCGTATTACGCAAGATCCACCAGTTTTGGTTGCTCGATCCTGCTGTTTTAATTAGACTACTCCTCGTTTCGCGTCCCAACGACTCTCGGTACGTTTGCACGGATACGTGTACATGGATGAGCTTGTTTGTGTGTTAAATTAGTCCAACTCTGAACTCTGCATTCGATGACAAGAGAACGAATGCGTGCTGCGTGTTTTATCGGCGTACACTACTCTCCTGGTCCTTCCGGTCTTTCCCGGCTCTTCGGGCATTGTACATTGGCGAACGTGTGTATTCACGAGCACAATATTCCCTTGCCAAATTGTGTGTTATAGGAATAGCGAAGCGTATCCGTCTCGAGGGAAATGTGGACCTTCAGTGTGCAGCAGCAGCAGTTGGATTGCGTCTGTGGAGTCGGTACGCCACTAAAAAGATCAATACACCATCGCTGCTCGCTCGTTCATCGGAATCTAGATGCCGCGAGTGCATGGAGCTACCCTGTTCCCCAAACTGATATTGCCTATATATATTTGAATATCGTTTTGCATGCTTATCTTTCGATGCTCAAATAGGTTCGATTGAAAGAAAAACGAAGACAATTTTTAGCATAACACATGATGTTGACTTTATAATTATTATAGCGTATTGATCGCCATCATGTCCTTGAGAATATATTAAAATAAATGGTTTCTCTCGTAGGACATCAATAAGCAAATCTGAGAAATTGTAGGTTGTGACTACTAGTGCCAAAAGGTTTGGACAAGAGATCTCGTTTAAGAATTGTTATGGGGGTGGACGACGAGAGAAGGGTTGGACAAGAGAGATAAGTTCGATGCTGCAAAACATTTCTATTCCCGTGGCTTGGTTCGTCGAAGGATCTTGAACGATCAGGATCGCAACGGTACTTTTCCATTGTTCTAGAAATATTTGTGTGTTTACTACGAAAGTAATGTTCTTTTCTTAACTCCCGCCCTTATCTCCTCGCGGTATGACCGAACTTATCCGACATGCTATTACACTCCGCAAGCAGATAGAAATCTGCCCGCCAGTGGAATCTATGTAAATTATACCCCGAACCTTTTATTCTTTGTTTATGACGACCGTGATAGGTCATCTAACGATCCGATTGCGCATGTATCTTGTCCGGTTATCGATTAATTTGATTGGTTTTTGTGTTCTGAGGAAGCCATGGTCAGATATGGCATTAAATTCAATAAAGAAAATGATATTGTGAACACTGATAAAGTATTACATCGTTAACTTATAAAGAAATGCATCTGACATGTAGGTGAGGTTAGATCTCAATTAAGACTAACCTGACTCTACCTTTATTTATCACGGCTGTAATGGGCGCTTAACTATTAGGTTGGGCGTATATCAGGCTTAATTATCGATTAATTTTATTAGTTCCTGGCTATCGGATAAACGATGGTTAGATGTGGTATTAAATTCAATATAGGAAAGAATACTACGACCGTTAACGAGGTATTATAGAATTAAGGTTATGCGAATAAAACCGCCATAAAACAGAAGTAATATTTTATTCGCAGTCAAATATGAAATGCACTTGATCTGAAAATCGAACTGTAGATTTTAATTTCCAAAAACTTAATATTAAACGCAATAACCGAATTTCACTTTCGTACCTTTCCATATTTCTCAAAGTATCTATAAAGAGTTTGGACCCTCCTGGAATTGTCCCTACTTGCATCCCTTTAAGGTTGACGAAGTCCATACAGAGCATCAGAACTTTAGTGCCATAAGAGATGATAGTAAAAAGCCTAATTTCTAGGTGTAGAAACCTCTGTCAGTCCAGTTGTGTAAGCATTGAACGTCGAAATAAGGTTAGATCTCAATTAGTGATCACGTGATGCCGCTATGAGGATTCAGTAGGCCCCAATCACATAAGAACCACATACGACAGGAAATAAATCTCCTTAGGTAACGAGGCTTTTAGAAAACGTGAGACAATCACTTTTTGGACGGTGGAGCGTGTTTACAGTTTGTAAATCCGCATGCGTGTGTATGCGGTATTAACATTAGTTAACTGGTGCGTGCTGGTGCCGATGTCGATGGTACCGTTTTACACATGTAAACACCAGCGCGCAATGGCCATAAATGGTATCAACAAGTGGATGCTTAGGTGCCATTATGAAACGTTTCATTATGGATATAAAACCGTATTACGTATTATTTGCGGCCGTCCGTTAAGATAGCGCGCGTGTCTTCGCGCGATTATCGTCCGGGCCCCGTTTGTTTTATAATCGAATAAAAAAAAGTGATGCGGTCCCGTAGATAGAAAAGAATTCTACTCCTTGTATAACTGATTCGTCGCGATTACCCGCGCGTATCTACAAACGCGATTACACTCTTTTGTAATGAACGGTGTGAAGTGAATAGAAAATAAAAGGTTCGTCGAAGATTAACTTTTATCGCGTTTAATAAAACAAGCTGGAGAATATAGTGCGTTCAATGACTGTTCCTCACGTGTGTACATATATTATTTTTCTTCGTTTGTCTTGCAATGAGAATGTTTTTATCTTGTCGCATTCGAGTTAACAATTTAACGACCGGCAAAGGAATAATTGTGATACTAAATAGCAGTACAATGAATGAAATCTAGCGAATAAATGATTTAGAGCGTTGGTTATCAGTTACTTGGAGTTTTCCTAAGAATTATTTAATTTATATTCTCTCGAATTACTTTTAATCATAATGGACAATTGAGATATACTCTTCATTTCTAATGAGTTAACGTCATACATATTAAGTCTTCATATCAATTATCGTAATTCAGATCAGAGCACGTTATCTAATTTAATTTCTCATCATTTAAGTAATCAACGGCTAATCAGTCGGTGAAATTTTTTTTACTATAATTTATATAATTAACAAACTCATACGTTCTTACAAATATGCTACCTTTAATTATCCTCCTCCTATTTAAGCGAACTTTCATCCATATCAGTTTTAATTTATTTTAATTTGTGATTTTAATTACTGTAGACCTTGGACGAATTCATATCAAAATTGCATTAAATTCAGCGGGTATCAACTTCTTCCATTATGACCAAACATGAATTTAGCGTCTTGATCGATAACCGGTTATGCACACTTCTTACCATTAATTTCAATGACGTATATATACGTCGTGCGCAGTGAAAGGGTTAAGAAGTTAATGAAGAAATCACTTCAAACCGAGTTTCACGTTGAACGATTAAATCGAATGATTCATTCCCAATCGTTTACAATTATCAGGGACACATTAATAAAAATTTACTGAAAAGAGGAGCTGAATTCTGTCATATTTCAAGAAACCTTCTAATATACACCTCAACGATGTCGATTGAGAATTAATCGATAGTCGCTAATGACAATGTGGATCTTGAATCGATCTTTAATCGTTACTGCTAAATATTTATGTTCCGTGTAAAGATGCTGCTTGGTTTGCGAGTCTCGTATTACAGCAACTCATCATTGCACCATCAATCTTCGACGAATGCATTTTCTTCTCGTTAAAAGGCCAGGAAGTGATTATCGATTTCACAATCTGACTTAGCGGTTCCGTTAATTAGCCGACTGCAACATGTTTAATTAATTGCCGGTCGGTTGATTTTTCTACTGTGAATCAGTTCGATAAAATAATTCATGCATAAATTATATGAAAGTATCGCTACTGCTTTTGGAACTTAACGGTAGACTTCTCTGAGAAAAATGATGATGTAGGAGAAGATTCCATCACTCGATAAAATTCTTAATTTTTCATGAAAGCACTAATTCATCCTGTTTGACGTTTCTTACAGCTTCTAAGAACGGTTGCTGTGCGAAAGGGGTGCGGGGGAGTATTGAACGGCCTGACGAGGAGTTCTACCCTCCTTTCTGTCGTAGCTAACAATTTACGCGGACACGTAGCCGCTCGTTACTTCTTCTTCCTCTCTGTTCCTTCCCCAGGGATAATTTCGTCGACTGGCCTCGCGATAGAGTACAGTCGTGCCGATACAGAGCAGATATAAAGGCTAGATTGTCTTCAACGTGGCCGTTTCGCGAGCACGCGCGACTGCAAACTTGCGAACGCGGCCAGTCACAAATTCTTCGTGGTTCCTCTCATAATTGGGCCCGTTGTTGTTCAGCGAACCGTACGTGGTCAGATTACAGAGAAACACAACGTTTTCTGGAAATATTCTTTATGTTGCTGAACTGCGGAAGTGTGAAAGTACCTCTGGAAAGGATTACAAGAAGACAGTAGATAAATACAAACAACAAATATGTTGAATAAATAATAAATTTGCATTTTCTCCGTAGTACCTGTACCATACCTTTGTGTTTCTTTTTCCGAGCTCCTTGTTTGAAATGGTAACGCGTTTACGTTGTTAGGAGGGCAAGTTTGCAGACGCCTGTGAAACCTTGCAACGTGGTAATGACATTCGTCGAGTTATTTGGACAATGCCGTTTGCTCGGCGAGAAAATAAACGTTCTTCGGATGAAACACGTGAACTTGGATGTTCATGCTGCGTTAGAACGTCATTCCGAATTAGATGGGTGCAATGTTGGTGCACAGAGAAATGGGGGTTGATTGATGAGTTAGAAAATGTTAGTATTGTGTTCAATAACATAGCTGAACTTAAAATTGATTGTTTCAAGATGATTTCTTGATTTATCTATTACATGCAAAGGTCTCTCGTATATTTTAATCTGAATTGAAGAGGAAATTGTAAATGTTTGAAATAATAGAAGTTTTGATGATTTCATGACTGCCCTCAATCGTACTTACAGCTTATCAATTCGAAACTTGAAATTTGTTGGAACTAACAATGTAACTTTGAAGCAATAGTTTCGAGACACCATGTATACCGCTGATTCCATAGTTTTGTAATTCCTGCGGTGTCAGCGTCTGTGACAGCCCGGGTCTGTCTGGCCAGTGTTCAAGAACAAGCTCTTGAAGCACGCTCGTTACGCTGTAAAGCAAGAGGGCGCGCCTCTCGTCGGTGAATCGTGATTTACTGTCGGACAGACACTGTTTCAAGCGTGGATATTACGCAGACAATACGGACGCGTGTTCGTTTTGTAAGTTACGAGGTGGTGCATCGGCCTTTGGGAAAGCTTGGTAGGTCGAGACGCGTCCGAGAACGGCCATAGTCCACGGTGGATGAATGGTGGACGTTAGTCGTCGAGGCACTTGAGTGCTTGAAATTTGAGGTTTTGGCCAGAGTCGTTTCGTCCTGGAACAACGTGACGTTTGAACGATGAGTACGTAATGAAAGGATAGCGAAAAAAAAAAGATGAAGAATGTTGCACCATGGACCTTCGTTTTTATATACTCAGTTAATGTTCCATCACCAGAAATCAGTATATACACTGTGAAGCGGGAAATATCCAGTGAAGCCGTTTAGAAAGCATGAACTCTTCAAACGATTAACCCGAAACTGGCAGGAGAAACTTTTCGCCATCAGATAGCCCCATGACGAAGGAAAGGCTTCGGTCGTTGGCGAAAAAATATTCCCTTGTAAAACGGTACGGTATGGGAACAGCCGCGGGGGAAAAGGAAAGTCTGCCGAGATCAAAGGGCCTTTCTTCAACCCTGTCTTTTTAAAAACGTGAAATTTTTATGACCACACTTTCGCACCGCACTCGACAAGTCCTATCGTCGGAACAGTCAACTTTCTCCATGGATATTCGCCGTGGGGGACGATTCGGATTGTTTCAAAAGGGTAGTTTTCACGCTTCCCTTTAGCGATTTCTTTTGCTGAATCTTCACTATATTACATGTTTTTTTTTATAAACATATCACTTTAAAAACACATAAAAAATAACATAAAAGAGACTATGCCAGCAATAGAAGGTACCGATGTTCAAACAGAGTTAAGCAAATAACGAAGGGAGCATAAATAGCGCCTTACACGATCAATATGTATCAATACCCATTCGCCAGCATTATACCCCAGCTGAAATCCGTATTTAAGTGACTATTATAGCCATTAGGATGTCGCGTTAATGCATCTATTTACGCGTCGATGGTAATCGTTTAAAGAGACTCGCATTTAAATTTTCCTATCCGATCGAAGCAACAAAACGTAACCCAAACACCTTCTAAACGTCGAGCGTTTGTATTGCTGCAAGTTTTGCATTGTTTCATGCCGAAACGCCGTAAAGAGTAAAAAGATACGATCTCAATTAGCCCTGGACGAAAGCTCGGGACAAGGCGAAACAGCCACGATAAGAACTCGACGACGAGACACACGTTCCACTTATGGTATGCAACTGTTCCCTTGAATTATATCCGACCCTCAGCTTTTGAGTAATTCTACGAAACTGTTCGCAGAATCCTTTGGTCGGAATAAAAAGGAGCCTTCGGCTTTTAAGGACGCCCTGAAACTTCACTGATTGATTCGCTTGCTTGGCCTTTTAATTCTTATGTTCATTTTTGTTTTTCACGGTTAATGCACTTGTAAGATATATAATTATGCACGCATGCTCGTTTCATACGTGAGATATCAGTGCAGTGATATTCATTGACTTTCTGTGGAGAAATAGTTTAAAATGACAAATTTGTGGTAACTTATATCATGCTGCTTTCCATCGAAACACGTTTCGTCTTTTATTTCAGCTGAGATCAGTCACGTCAAGTTCACCGAAATCGGGAATCCTGCAGTTGCATCTCGAGAACTGCATCAGCTTCAAGTGCAAGAGGTCGTGCACACGACTACACAGCATACTCGCTCGAACGCGATAAAGTGCTCGCGATTCGCGGAAGCGTGTATACGAGAACATCGTGCGTCCATTCGGTTTAGGATCTCTTGCTTTAGGATCCATCTCCTGTCCATTTCTCATCCACTCCCATTTTCACAAGAATGGAGGCTCATCTTTGAAACCTCAGCTTGCGAAATGATCGCTTTTGTTTCGAAGAATTTGTACTTTTCACGATGCACATTTCGTATGAAACACCTTGTAGAAGATCAGCGTGAAAGGAAGCGATCCGATGGTGGTAACGGGGCCGGGGTCACCATGGCCGGACAGCATCTTCGCGACGAACACCGTGAAAGCGATAACGAGCGGCGCGATGTTACGAGCTCCGGAGATAAAGGGACGTGAGAAGAACGGAACCGTGACAATAAACCTGCCGCCGTCTAATAACCAGACTCTTGCACTGCAGCCTCTTCGATCGCATGGGCCAGTTAATAACACCGATAAACAGATTTGACCAGGTTTAGAAGAGTAGAATCCAGTTTGCTCGTAATTTCATTACGATCAACGGAGATAGGTCTTTTTTTTCTTCTAGTTAGCGTACCGAATGGCGATTACGCGGCTGACAATAGTGGATCGAACAGTACGATAAGTAACAGGAGCTAGAGTTGTATTCTTGCAACTCTGGTTATCTTGGATCTCGATGGAAGCCAGAGTTTACGTTGAGCAACTACCACTACCGTTACGGCTTCCGAAGCGATATAAGAGCGCGGTTGCCTTTCATTTTGTCCTTTAACCCTTTCACCGGGTATGAAGTCATACGTGGCTACCAATGAAACGCTTGCCGTGGACTTCAGAAAATACTTCTTCATGATCTATGGTATAAACATTATTAAATGTTTATTGTATTTGATATTAGTGCTCCTTATAAGTGCGGCGCTAAAGTGTTCCAAGTGTGAAAGGGTTAAATTGGTCCACCGTTGTTTGTCGCTTTGCGTAATAAATGGCGAACGGCAGCGAGTCACAGATTTCTTTAATAATCCGAAAGCAACGGCGCCGTTTACGATAATTGAGCCACGCCCTACATTGCGAGTACCGTGAGGCCCCAGATTCACGTACTAATTGGTTCCTGAAGGGACGATATAAGTCAAAAAAGATGTACGTTGGGGTATACAGGTACATTTTATACATTTTCTTTCAATTTTTCGAAAATGCTAGAAAGAGTTATATTGAAAGTTTAAATATTCATAAAATTAGTGGTTAAAAATAATTATATATATATTGAATATAGTTATAGTTATGTTAGTTGAAAATGATTGATTATTGAGTCCTGTCGCGTTGCGCAGAGATGACGTGACTGCGGAATGGTGTAAGCTGAAAACATGTAATCAGGGGTACCAGTGTAATTTGATCCGCAAATGCTAATTCGTGAAAACACTTTTAATAGCTTGCTTACTCTTATATATTTTCATATTATAAATAAGCCTTCTAATTAAAAATTCCATCAACAACTTCAGAAACAATCCTAAATTACACAGGTAAACTAATTTTTAAATACATAGTTACCTATATACTTGCAAACCAAAAATGACATATTACTTAAACTATCAGAAGATCCATTTTTTCCAGAAAGCCTGGTCCACTTATTATTCCAACATAAACAAATGGTAAAGGTCGTCAAAGTCAAACAATAAGGTAACGTCTTTCATATCTGAGTCCGAACGAAGCTGGTCACCTAGGACGGGGGTTAAAATCCCCAAGGAAACTTGCACCTATCGCATCGTCCTGCTTCATCCTCCCTTCCTTGACACCCTTGTGGAGCTACTTCGATCCCAACTGGCCGACCACTTTTCTTTCCTTTCTCAGCCAACCGACCGACGAAACCAATAACTAAGGGAAAAGAAAAACGGTATGGAAGTCTCGCACGCTCGGAGCATACATATATTTTCGCGACGACGTGGATATATGGTCGACGTGTATATACGTAGGTAGTTGCAAGCGTAAGATACACGTACACATACTAAAACCTAACCCCCACGAATTAATATTCCATCCACGTGACTTACACCAGTCTCGCAGATTGCCAATGCCGTTCGAGTTCCCCGAGAACGTCCAGGACCCTCCGGAAACGTTGGACAAGGACAAAAACATAGCTACCCGTTGCTAGAGTCTGGGTTCCGTTTCTATTCGTCAACCGGGAACAATGACTGGTTTCTGGCCTCCTCTTCCCACCGTGGAAAATAAGATTCCACCATGAGGAGATACGTAATTTCGCTACTGATCCGATGAGTTATCGCCACGAGCCAGCTCGACGACATCCTTTCAGCGGACAGAAACGACATTTTATTTGCTCGTTCGGAGAATCGTTATGGCGACGTGCTAGCTCGACCCGATCGGGAGGGACGGGGTGGTTTTCAAAAGTATTGAGTTGAATAATAAATTCAACGTTGAGATGATTAAGAAGAATCTTTCTTTCTAGACTTCCAAGAGCTAACACCGCCACAGTACAGATAGAAATAGTTAATTTTAAGATATAATATGTATTTTGTCGAAATGGTTCAGCAAAAATTTATATGCGATTTGTAATTGAGGGTAGGTATTTCATATCATGTGTCGTTAAATCAGTTCAAAATGGTTGCACATATTTTAGCAGATTTTCATAACAGGACAAAGTGCCTCTTTCCCGAGGAGAATGCATAGGAGATTTAAAGTTAACCCTCGACTAGAGCTCCAAGGGATTTGAATTGGGTGAGGGTCTTTGTATGGATCCTTCCTTATTGATACCGGTAAATGTTATTGAACATATTTCGTGCGTCAATAACTGAATATTGAATGATACGACTTCCAATGTATTTTGATAGAAACAAAATTATATTATGCAAAAAATTTGTAATTTATTCAATTATAAAATAATCTATACTCGTGTTACCTAAAAGATGTTAGATTAAGAAACTTTTCCCTTCTGAAAACGGCCAACTAAATTTTCCAGCCACCTTCCATAAATAATCGATTTTATTAATTCAACCTCCCCTTTGGTCGCGACATCCTTAATTACCGTACCCATGAAACGCTTCTTTTTCAGCCGGTTCTACAAGGCAAAAATTCACCATACTCCTTCTAGTTCCCCCCTAGTATAAGATTCCCGATCTGTCCCCGTGATAAGGGTGGGTGTCAACGCGTGTGCGCCATGGTTATTCGTTTCAGCCGATGCCCCTCGCTTTACGCATTCTACCGGCATAGGAATACGCTTGACGAGATATAGATAATTGGAAATTGGAAATTATATCTACCGATAGGTTGCAACTAGCCCGTTTCGCGTATATCGCAATACCTGTTCCAGAAAAAATTCTAACTTCATACTTAATTAGAAATGATTTTCATTTTCCATCGTGCGTGATTCACCGATTCTCTTCCCTCCAACGAGACTTTGATTTCCCGTTAGACCTCGATCCCGTTTCACCTAACAGAACCGATATTTTATTCGCGCCACGGGTGTTCGAGTAAAAAAACACAATTATCGTAAATACAGCTGAATTTTTTCCCGCGTTTCACTGCGAGAATATCGGAACACGATCGATAAAATCGATTCTCCTCGCATTTCGATTAATTCACGCTTTAACGAGTCGACTGTTCCGTTTAGAGAAATGCGAGTTTCAAAACGGTTTAATACCTAATTAATGTTTCTCTTTTTTGTTTTCATAAATTATGTTGAATTCTTTTCAATCATTTCTCTGTTACTCATAAATTCTCTGGATAAACTGGATTTATATGCTTGTGAAATTTGCACAATTCAATTTTTATAAGTAGATAATGTGAATGGTAATTTAAAGTTTGATCAGTCAGACCGATGAGAGGAGATAAGTAGGTACTTGTCACGCAGTCATTAGCATTGCAATTTCTTGACAAATAAATCGTAACACTGCATCCCTTTGTAGCTGGTCAAAGCTTAGAACAACAGCAAAAACGTTTACACGCAATTATACGGCGTTTACGAGTTCCTCATCGAGAATATCCCGGAAGGTCGTAAATTTTGCGAACCATCGAGGCTACGTTACATACGCACCACCGTCTACAGGGTAATTTTACGCTTGTTTTCGTCTCGTTTCTTTTTCGGTTTAACGTTTGTAGAACTCACGGTGAAACAACGCTTCGGGTAGATCTCAGGGCTTCGGTCTATTTCGGATGCACTTTCGAAACGCAAGAAAGGGAAACTGAAGAAAGTTTGAACGATGATAATACTTGAAAGCAACTCCTTGCTTGAACGTTCGGATCGTTTCCAGGGGAAAAGCTAAGGGAAAAATGGAATTTCTTCGCGTCTGCTTTGCATCGTTCTCGACGCTCTTCTTCGAATCACTTCGTATTGTATCGCATCGTAAGAGCCTTTTTAACGCAATCGAATCTAAACATACGAAGGGGAGGAAACAGAGAATTTATTTAGAATATTTAAAGAAGAGGACCTAGCCCATCCTACAGAAAATTCCTAATTACGCGAATGGTCAAGGGGTAATATACTTCCTGTTAACAACGTGTTAACCTATTTGCAATTTCCTGTCTTATTACTTTCGAATCGTTTCATTTTCTCCCTTGTAATAAGCGAAAACTCGCTAGAAGAGAGGGCAGAAATGGAAAGTCACAGGAATTGTCTTGTAGATCGAATAACAAGAATGAAGATCGAAAAACGGATATTGTGATTGTAAGGGAAAGAGGTTAGATGACCGGCGCATCGGAAGAGAAGCAAGGGGGCCATGGCGCATAAACCGATACGGTTATTTCGGAATATCTGTAGCCATACGCGACCACTCGATGCTTCCATTTCAATGTTCCGCCCATCCGAGCGTGAAAGTGGCGAAAATGCGTCGAGATGGGGTGAGTTTTGCGAAGGGTTGCGAGCAGACTGCCTCGGTAACAATACCCCGGTGGCTGGGAAAGGCCAATCGAGACGTAAACTTTGATACTCCCGGGATTAGCCCCGGAGAATCGAGAGGAAATCGCGGAAACAACAAACGTGTGTATCGTTTTGGAACACCAGAACACTTTAACCCTTTGTTTTACGAGTATTACGTTGATATTTTCAGGGCACTACCGTTAACTATTCATTGTTCGAGTACAGGCATTGAACTATTCTTCGATTTTACTAATTGTGATTAGAATAAACATTGTCGTTAACAGAAAAAGTGTTAGTAAGAGTAATAGGAGAAGAGGGCGGGTCGCTGACAATCGATCATTAATCACATCCCATAATTTACTATACGCTTTTATTTCGTTTGTATATCATAGATATAGCTTATGAGTATAATTCTACATCAAGTTTCGAAAATGGATACATTTACATTCATTGTCAATGGATTACCTTTTTTTCTTTTTCAATTCGCCTGTCATCGTCATATCGTCAATCGTCAATCGCCAACCTCGTCGTCGTCACCCTTTTTTTTTATCGCACGGTAATAATAATACTAATTTTCTTGAAATAGTCGAGCAAAGACATGAGACTCCATTATTCCGTTACTTTTATTATTATTTTTTTTATTTATTATTCTTAACGTGGGTAGGTAAAGGTATTGAAGGACAGCTACGCTCTCTTATCGTTCTAGTATTACATTTAATTAGGTATCATCCAGCGGCACACGAGGATCCGCGGCTCGCAAACAACGACACAACAGATCATTATTACATACTTCTCGATCGATTTGAATCGCGTTTCGATGGATCGACTCACCGCGGCTCCTCGTTCACTGAGCAACGTTAACGTTACGTAGTGTTAATATTTACATCGAAGAAACTCTGGAGTAGTAATACATCGGCTTTCCATTCATTTTAAAACGTAGGTACAGCAAAGACAATAATAATTAAGACCTAAATTTCTCTCGGTTCTGATATTTTCCTTTCGTACGTTCACGCAACTGAACACGTACACACATGTAGCTGTGTGTTTCTGTCTGTATATGCCTGTGTGCGCGTACGGTTCTTCCGACGAATGGTTCACGAGTTGGACCAACAACAGATGCCCGTGAAAAGAAACTCGAGTGTTTAAGAAAAAAAACGAGGAACAAATATGATTTTCGTTTCTGCGCAGAGATAAACAAATAACGATCACAGTACGTCGATACGTCGAACAATCTCCATTAACCCTTTGCACTCTTCAAGAACTCCCTTGGATTGTAATATTTTTTAAACAAACATTCATCAGTCATACAGCACATTCCAGAAGTTCAGGTTCAACCTACTTTTTAAGAAAAGTTCGTTAAAAAATAAGGTGTGTCCAAACTTTTGATACGCCCTGTAGAATACCACCCTGTGAAGAAAATTGACGTCGAGGCAGACTCGACACAGGAGTTCAAAGGGTCAAGAGAAATTCATCGATACGAAATGACCTCAAATCGTCTTTGCGACTCGAGAGCAAAAAATGAATACGCGACATGTGCACAAAACCCGGCTACGTGGCTCCATCATTTTCCACTTCAATTTTCATTTTCACACCTTATCTCCTAATAGAATAATAACCACGACTCGCGTTAATAATCGTCGAAAACGATAAACATAATTGTATTTAAGTAACCGCGAAATCGACGCAAGAACAATATAACCGATGAGGATGAGAACTTAACAAAACAGCGTTTCGAGAATCGCACGATCGTTTCACTGGGTGGAAAAAAGAGACGATGGGTAGTGAAAGCCATCAACCTTTCTGATCGAACGTGGAATTCTCGAGACGTCATCGACCCGCTGAGAAAAATTAACGCTGTTCTTACTAATGTAGAAAATAAAAAAAAAGACTCATAAACTAATAGTATTCAACACGCGAAAAAATTGGGACAGCTGCCAATAGAAGAAACAACACTTAAGAGTGTACACCACCGACGCATGATCAGCCCACCGTCTTTATACGGAATCAGTTGTAAGCGAAATTAAAAAAAAAAAAATCTTATCTCATTTTGTGATCGTTGATTCTGAGAGAGCTTACATCTAATTCCGATCCTAAGTGTATTCTCTAACGAACACAATAAAAAAAAAGAATACGTACATAGAATTAATATATATTACAATCAGACGCAGTTTTTGCTGAGCTTTTCTTTTTTTCCTTTGAGAAACAATCGTTAGTGATTGCAACAATTATAAATATAAATAAAAATAATTTGGAGAAAAAAGTATCAAATTGGTATCAATAATTTTGTGATATATCGAATGGGTATAGTGCATTAATGGAAGTCCAAACTACACGCGACGTATAGTCGGTTTTTAAGATATAGCCCGGTTATAAATTAAAACATGAAGCGAAAATCACTAACGATCGTTTTCACGTTTCATACCACGATCACGCGTTTCTATGGCACGAAAGACAGATGATGGTTAAAATCGTCCTTTGGTTACGTGGTACAGAACGAAAACACCGATTTCTCAAAAATATACTCTCTAGGTGGTACATAAACAGCACGCTTGATTTTAATAGCAAAAACAAAAAGAAGACGATGAACTCTTCAGTACCTATATATCTCTCTCTCTCTCTCTCTCTTTCATTTCGCATTTAACAAAAAACAAATATACGAAAGAGTACGCATAATAAACAGTTCATAAATAAACAATCAGATATTATACAGGTTAAAAAAAAAAGAAAAAAGAAAATATAACAAATTGTTTCATCGTGATTTTTTTTCCTTTTTCGCAACTCGATCCTGCGTTCCGCCAGACGGATTCGGCTGTTTTTTTTCTTGTTTCACCAATCAGTACGTACTTATTCAAGAATAAATTCTACCTTTTTTTAGTATTCTCGGTTAAATTTTCGTACATGTACGTAGTACGGCGCGATTCACGCAAATATCCTCTTTTATTCTTTCTCGTATCACTCGCACTCGTTTTCTTGAATTATCATTCATATCATTTTATCTCATTCATACCAAAAACGCTCTGAGCCACACTCTACAAGTGTCTTCATGTGGTTTTTTTTTTACGTAATTGTAATTTCCTTAATTCGGATAAAGAGAAGTGTGTTGCGCTCGAGGGCGCTAAGTTTCATCCCCTTTTCAACGACTCTTTATTCTCCCTCAAGACTAATCGCGTTAACACTCTCGATTTTTTTTTTCATCATCGATTCGATTCAGAAACGACGATGTAAAACCCACCATCGTGGTTTGTTTTTTGTTTTATTACGCGAGTTTGGCAAGTCAGGCAATAAAGTTGTACTACTTAGCGATGCTTGTCGCCTCGCGTTCTTTCTTCGTTAATCTTGTTGTGTTTCCTTCTTTTTTTTTCTCGTGTTTTCTTCTTCTCGATATAATAAACTATACGTTATATATAATATGTATGTATGTATGTATATGCGTATGTATAGAGACCTAGTTCGATATAGTTTAAAGTTCAATATAATACATCTATAATAATAATGGTAAGAATAGAGCGAGTTAAATCGATTGGATTTCTAGAGTAGGGACATGGAACATGATGGGAGGATAAGGGATGGAGGGGGATGGTGGATTTCTTTTTGTCGAGGGTTGGTAAAAAGGTGCGAAGAGAGCACGAGGAAGCGTTTACGAACGTTTATATGATATGATTACGCGTCAGTTATTTGGAATAATATTCTATATAACGATGTTTAGATGCCATATAGGTAGCTTAAGCCGAGAGAGGAAAGCTTCGTATTGTGGACGGCGCCCGCACAGTTTTCTTTTTTACTCTCTAAAGATTCTCGTTTCACGCGATCAACTTCAATCGGATCGAATGGTTTGGGAACATGATCGAGCACCGTGGTAAATCAACAGCTCATTTTTGTAACAAATAGAGAATAACAGAGAAACGTGGAGATTTTTTAAGAGACGTAACACCCTATCTACTGAAGATCAGTACGCTTGTTATAAATGTATTATAATTGGAGTTCCAATATTTAATAAAATTTATTTAGTACCAGATTGGCAAAATTTAATAAATAACAATTTTCAGTCAAAACAACCACAGTTGATAAAGCGTTAAATTAGGATCGTCCATGATCTTCAGGGCAACCCTGTGGTCAACCGTCGAACGGCCAATACCTGGTCAATCGTGACCCACGAAATTTGTACAGGAATTTTTCGTCAAACTTTTTAACAAAAGACTTTCATGTATTTGAAAAATAATTTAAAGTACAGAAAATAAAAATGAATTGAGTCTGAAATTAAATTTACTATCCCAGTGATCTGCCATTCAAGGGTTGAACAAAAAAAAATGATCCAAATTATCTCGAAACGACCGACAAAGTAACAGAAACAATTGTTAACAGGTAATAAACGATCTTCGTACCGACTGTTCGTCAACAAAAACGGGAGAAACAACGATCAAAAGAGAACAATAAACGCCTCAAAAGGAAACGTGAACTAAATTGAAACATGGTGCGAAATCGATCGAGGAAAGAAGTAAAAGAAAGAGAATGTCTCGATTCCCAAATCGTTCGTTCGTTGCATCAACAAACCGTAGTTTTCTCGAATAAGAGAAAAAATCTCGCGTGAAAATTCGTGTCACACTCAGCTACTTCTTTTTTTCTATTTCATAACCGCAGTCGCTAAACGATTAAAAAGACCTTAATGCATACGTACGTATATATAACACGGCCGCTACGAATCTCACCGTTGCAATTACTGTACAAACTCTTCGGCTAATTAATAATGATAATTATTATTATTGTTATTATTACGCATTACGTATATCCCTAATTTGTCGGACGTATCGGCGCCGCCACTTCCGCCAGCCCTTTATCTAGACTGGCCGCGTCACTTCATGGGTCATGAATAGACCATCGTACGCAAAAAAACTATCAACCCTCTGCCTTATGATATCCTGTCGAACTTGTGGTTTTTATTGCAATTAGTTTGGAAAAATTAAATTAAATTTGTATTAAGTGCTTATATTAATTCTAACTGCAATTTGAAAAAATAATTACTTAGTTTTGTAAGGCAAAGGGTTAACTTGGTTGAAAAATTAACCACTAGGTTATAAGATAAAAGTAAGAAAAATAATGTCCACGATGATCATGATGATGATAGTAACAATCAGAATAATAATTCGTAAATAGAGTCACGTGTAAAGCTTTTCTACAAATATAGTTATACCGATTTTCGGGATTCAATCGCGTCATGTGTGTTAAAAGAAGAAAAGGATTTTTTTCTCTTTCTCTCTCCCGTTCCCGTTAAATCTCTTCGTTCCCCTTTTCTTTTCGTTTATTTTTACGTATACATTGAGCCGAAGAAGATTCAGCGATCTTTCCTTTCGTTCGCAGCATCGACAGAACAACGGAAGCATCCTCGAACCGGAACCACGAAAAGTTTATCTCCCAATGATCGTTAAATTCCGTAACCGAGATCTCACGTGGCTGGATCGGAATATTTTATCGATTATACAACCGTGTATCGACTTTAATTATAGATTTCTTTTGTAACCGCGTCATTTCTACTTCAGCGCCATCTACGCGTATGGATTTCCCGCGCAATTCTCCGAAGAAGACATAATTGCTTCGTTGGAAGTCGTCTAAACCATTCACAAATCAATATATATCATAACTGATGTGTTTTTAACAAAATGAAACTTAATTGAGATGTATCACATGGAAACAAGTACGATATATTTGAATTAGCCATCAAAGGCAAACATAAAGATCGTTGGTGGCGATAATGTAACAAACAAATTAAAAATTTAACAAGCAAACAAACAAGAACGATCTATGAATTCTATTCTTCAACATATATTTTCACGTGACAACTCTGTCATGATTATTGATATGTAGGGTAGGCCATGTAAAACAGGCTACCTAATTATGTATTTTCCCAAACTGTGGGTGAACTTAAATCAAATAGACACAAAATGGCACTTATGATCTATTTTACTTGGATCATTCTGTATATGGGTGATTCGAACAAAATTCATCACTTATAGGGGCACATGAAACATACCTTCATAAAATGTCAATATTAATTAAGACTCCCTTCGATAGCAACTATATATTCTTCCGAGTATCTGGTTCCTTGAAAATATCGCTGCTCAAACCGTATCACTTTCTTGTACCTAAGAGTACGTACAATCACCTATAACATAAATGTAAATGAAAATGTTAAAGTGTATATTTGTCTTCTTTACAATTGCCTCCCACTACTGGGTTAACTCGCTCCTGGTTCGTAAGGTAGAAGCCGTAGCCACACTGTCGACGTAAGTCGAACTGTGCCGAAGTGGAGCACGAAAGAGTCAGTCAAATGGTGGGAGGTCGCTCTCCACTACGCTTCTCATAATGTAAAAAGTTATCTTTGCACGCGACTGTACACTGAAAAACTATGAAGGTGTCTTAGCAAAAGAAAACGATGATTCGTTATAGGTGCTTGTACATACCCAGATCACTGACCATTTTACTTTAAATTATTCGTCACGATTATGGCAAGTAGGTACATTCGCTACTTGGGATAGAAAAGGGTGAAGGAAGGGTAAATTGTAGGGAAGAGGGTGTCTGTGTATTGGGAGGATATTTACGTGAGTACATCTCGTGCGTAGATTCTCATGCTTAATCGTTTACGTACGGGGATAATTATAGTAATAATAGTACTTTAGTTTAGATGATTAGCGGTACAGTATTTAATACAAATACGGTTTAATCCTTTTTTCTCATGTTTAGATTCTTTTTCTTCTAAAACGAAAGCTATCTCGCCTTGATTACGGACGTCTATTTGTTTCTTTCTTCTCTAACAGGGTCTACAAATTTTTTCATTTCCTTCAATATTTAACAAAATGTCTTATGTACCTATCTTCTTTTTTTGTGGGGATTTTCATCGATTCTTTTTTTCTCTAATTTTCTATTAATTGTGTCTCGTTTTCTTTGCATCAGTACGTATTTTTAGTTCTTATCAAGCTACTATCAAAATCTTTTTTTCTTTTTTTTTTGTCTTTAGAGCACGGTAAAACAGATTTTCTTCCTCGTTTGTTCTCATATACATATATATTTGACATATATATCTATAATATACTCGTTACTTTTAATAATACATATAATACGGTATTATTGTGTACACTATGATTTTACATCGTAAATAGATAGATCACTGGACGATTCGTACAATAGATTTCCCCCCTTTCGTGATGAATACATTATATGTATATATATATATATCTATATATATTTGCTCTCTCTTGGTTCGAGTTACGTATATACGTTTTTGCAATCCTTTCTCCCTTATACGCCCTTTAAAATTATAAATTCTTGTCGAAACTTAACTATTATTCACGCTACAAAAAAAAAAGAAAAAACAGAAAAAAACAGAAAACCACAAGTAACGAAAAACACTGGAAAAAAAAATATAGAAATACTCAACAGGAACATTGTTTGATCGATCATTCTCCATGAACAAGAACTTATGGAAGATCGAAAACACCAACACGTCGAATATATATTTATAAACGATAATTATAAAAAAAGACACCGGTTAACATTTGGAATCGAGGTTTCTCTCGAAAGTATTGGAATTCTTTGTACGAATCGCGTGAACACTGGGGGGGGGAGAAGAAAAAAAATATAATCCAGGCGATAATTTCTATGATCCAAAGAGTTATCTGGGTCTCTTTTATTTCATGGTTTTCCCATTCTAAGTCCTTGTTTTCATTACGAATTCTACGCAAGTAATTATCAACGACTGCCTCTAATATATCTATGGAAAAAGGTCTACCCTGACACCAAATTACGTATTTAATGTGCACTAAGAGTGAGGATTACTCGTCCGGTGATGTGTCTTTGCTTGACGGTCACGTTTTCGCCCCTTTTTTCCCTTCTCGTCGTTCGCGGAGACGTTGCTCTGTCCCGTGGCGAAAGCGTGGCAAAAGGAAAATGATCGAGAAGAAATAAAAAGAAAATAGAGGAAGAGAGTATCGAATACGATTCGACGCGAACTCGTCGATACGATCGCGGTTAACACTACGTAAAATTAACGGGATGAATAACGTTATTCCGAGGAGAAAGAAACAAAAAATTGGAGGGAAACAAACGTACAAGGTGTTTCCTAACGTGTCGTACACATCTGGAACACCCTATACATCTAGAAAAAACATTTTCTACACTGTTACGATAAATTATCTTAGATAATATGGAATACGTACTGGTTTTTATATACGTGTTTATCCTGTATTAGTAAAAGCCTTAGCGATATCCTCTGAGATCTAAACTGAACTGATAAATGAATGTAAGACGCTCGTCGACGAGTCAGCATTCCCGAACCGACCACCCCTGCATTTGAATTTTTCATCACATTTACACAAATCACTGTGTAATAATATTCTTTTTTCTACCTGCTTTTCTTTCGCGTTCAAAATGGTTGAAACCATTGAGACATCCAAAAAATACACGGAGAAGAAGCTTCCTTTCTGAAGGGTATCTCCATTTGGAGGAGTCATTTTTAGGAGACTTTTCGAATTAAAGATTAATCAAGCAAGGAATTTTTATAATTTTCATCCAGATGAAAATATCCCCTTAAGAATCTCTTCCGACCAATCTTTTCCAGCAAGATGATCGACGACTCATTGGTTACTCTTCATGGTCTATCAACCGTCACCAAGATGATTTGTAAAAAAATAAACCTTCAACGTTCCGCTGAACGAGTACTTCGTTTTAAAAGAAGGAATTTCCTTGGTTTCGATGATGCCAATCGAAGCTGCCAGCTGTTTCACCGTCGATTTTCAAACCTTTTGCGAGCGAACATGGCCGATCCAGGTCAGTGAAACAAATAAAAGAAAATAATTTCCGTAATGGGCTTGATTAGAACGGTCAGATGATTTTTTAGTATCAACGAAGAAAATCTCAAAGCGTACGTCAAAACGTTGAAAAATATTATCGACTAATTGCAACGCGAAGCATGTGAACCGCGGTTAATTAACTTGGGAAAAGCTCGGTAAATGGCATAGGTTTGTACCGCTAAATTCCTTTCGAGTTAAAGAAGTCGGCACGAATCAGCCTGGACGTACTTATGCATACACGTAGCTTTACTTGTATGATTGGAAGAAGGTATCCAAGGTATTCGAAGGAGTCTGCAATCGTTCGTTGTTTCAATAAGAGCGTACAGAAATCCTTACAGCCGGTCACGCGAGACTAATCACTTCGCGTTGTCAATTTGTTCTACGGAACAGCAATTGAACCTTGAACTTGATGATTCTTATGCTTTGTCAGATCTGATTGAACTGTTTTTTTTGAGATAATAATTCCTGATAGGATTTCAAGCTGGTAGGATGGTGATTAGTGATGGGCTATTATCCACTTTGAATTGCTAATTGGAATGATGAATTTTTGGGTACTGATTATATCAGTGCCCAAACAAGTATAAAATAATATTTTGAATAATTATCAAATAACGTAACAATCCAACATTATCTAAATGAAGTTTCCAAACCTTCAAAAATTTCTTTCTCTTCGAATACTGAGTTTTGAATTTTAAAATGATATAAAACTCAACAATGATATTGCATAAAAATTTCTAAGATCAAATATACCCATCACTATTAACGACGGTGATGGAATCGATTTGGGTAATGGCAGCGAAATTTGAAAGATCATCCCCGCGATCGTCCCAGTTCCCCCTGCTGGTGGCCACATTTATCCCTCCTCGATTGTTCCAACGCAATTAAGTCGAATTCTTCTCCAACCATCGCTTAATTACTCCACCGCGTTCTCTTCTCCGTCGGGTATTAATTGATCGTCTCGTCGCCAGTGTCGTTAGCTCTATCCTATGACAAAAGGCCTGACACCCGACCCTTTAATCACCTCGTCTTCTCTGTGCTCGTTTTATTAACTAATTCTAGTGAGTCGGTATCCCGACGCGCGCGATCATCATTGGCTTCCATCTTGCGTATGGCAGTTTCATCGCGCCAACTCGTCGTCCCACTGTTTCATCGGCCGATTAACAATATACATTTATACGTTCTAGGAATCAGTCACAGGCTAGGTCCATCCTTTGGCCCAGCCAAAATAAGTACGTAGTTTGAGGGTGTGCTTCTTACACGCTTTCTAAAAACCTCTACTTGTATGTTTACGTGTATGTGCGGGTGTGTTTTATCTTCCATTTTCCCTTTCGTTTCTTTCTTCCGTATAAAAAAAAAGAAAAATAAACAAAGAAGCAAAAGAGACAGACACGACAACGAACATCGTCGCTAGCCTATTTTTCTCCTTGGCTTCGACGTTGCGTCGAAAGGAGTTCTCTTCTTCTACGATCTCGATAGGGATAAAAAGGAAGAAGAAGAACGATCACAAGGTCTTCAACGCGAACACCCATCCTTTCTCGAAACGTAGGAAGACCAGCACTCCAAACGTCCCCGTGGATCTTCGTCCATTACGCTCGAGAAGAGGGAAGGAGGAGCGTGCGCTCTGTATTTCCTTTTTCTTTAAGGTCGACCTTTAGCAATCTACCTCGGTTCGATGTCTGCGTGTCTTGGTTGCCATTCCAGTCTCTCTGTTTCTTATTCAAAAGAAAGACAATCGATCGGGTGGATTCTCCTATGTGGGCACCTTACTGACCGCTTTTAGGAGATCACTCTGAGTCTTGTCCAAACCGCTCACATGATGTTGCTGCTGATGCTGCAACGCTGCGTTCTGTTGTTCTTGTTGCATCTTCGCTTGTTTCTCCGCTTGCTGTTTTTTCATCATATCCTGTTCCTCCCGTTCTCGCCTGGCCTGTTCGTTGATCTCCTTCACCGCCCTCAATTCCTTCTTCAACTTCATCCGTCGATTCTGGAACCAGATCTTGATCTGTCGTTCCGTTAAACAAAGGGCGTGGGCGATCTCTATTCGTCGCCGTCGCGTCAGGTAATGGTTGAAGTGGAACTCCTTCTCCAGCTCCAGCGTCTGGAACCGGGTGTACGTTTGCCGACCCCTACGCCTTGGACAGCCGTTCGGTCCTGGAAACGTCAGAAACGCAGATTTGCCTAGGTTAGTTTTTTCATGCAGGACGATTTGCCACTTTTAACCCTTTGCACTGCACACAGTCAACTCGTGTTAGCTTACCGAAATGTCTCCTTTGCATTGGCCCTCCCTTATCGAAGCTGTTGGTTGTTAGACAAAGATTCGATCAAACTGAACATTATAAAGTGAATATATTTATCGAAGAAGTTGACTGTAGGCTTACCGTGTAAGCGTGCAAGAAGTGCAAAGGGTTGGTTGATTAAATAATAATAATAATAGCGTGGAGAGTAAGTTGAAAAAATAAAAGAAATGATTCGTATCACTGACGCAGGGACTTGAAAATTGAAGACGAGTTTGAGTATGTGAAATAGTAATTAGTCCATCTGGTATTCCGAAACGAGTTTGAATTTTGTGTTTTCGCTGGTGGTCAAGTTTGCAACATGGATCCCCAATGTTTGTCCAAGTTATGGCCACGTAATCGCAAATCGAACATATCTTTTAGCGACTAGAATAATTTACATTATCCGGTCATGTTGTAGTTGAAGAGTTGAGTGACGATTAACTTCTCGAGTGCATGATTTCACAGTAAGAACCAGGTCATATTCGGGAAGTAGTAAAACCGTCTAGAGTACTTTACGTTTCCTTCGATTGAATTGCACTCGCTCGTTCTTATGCGACGAACAAGAAATATGGTACCCCGAATTTCGTTACGTAAACTTCAGTTTTTCCGTGATTTACAGTTACCCGATGTTTCGCTCGCCAACTCACAAATCTCAACTCTCTCCTCGCTTTCTCCTCGGACGAGAAAAAAGCACCACTTTCGGATGGTCAGTTTATTGCAGGGGTTGTGAAGGAGGTAAAAAAAAAAGGAAAAGAAAGAAAGACGGTAAAAAATAGAAAGTTTCGGAAAAGCCTCGCGCGTAGAACGTTGTATACTCCCTATTGTCTGAACCCTTTCTTGAAATGCCTTTTACCTTGCCAAACTTTCTCCGGCCCGGAGTCAAAGTCGTAAAACGGGGTGTGCAGGAAATGCATTTTTTATGGTGTTTAGGTAGCTATCGAACTGTGGTCGTCGCGAAAACCAGGTAAAAATTCGAGTTTGTCATCTGGTTTATACCTGAAAACATTACTTTCGACTTGTAAAGCTGACTCGAAACGTTTGGGAGGCGCCTCCATATACTTATTAGAATTAGTAAGAATTAAATTTGAAGATATTTTCCATAAAATATGAGAGGAGTTGGAACTCATCATTCGACACTTAATTATAAGAAATGCATGAGGCTGACTCGTCGAATGTGCTGAAGGGATCAAGGGATCCTACAACTATTCGCAATCTAGGGCAGAAGACAGCAGAAGATCACAAATGGTACCCTAGACGGTTGATAAATCTCTCATACGAGCAATTCTCGCAATTGGCCCAAAGGTAATTTCACTTCTGACCAACGGTAGAAATGGGGAGCGGGTCACGTTTTCGGTTCGTCGTCGTCCAAAGAACCGGTTCCCTGGTGCAACGAACAGTCAGCCATAATACCATCATTCTCACGAGAAGACGCTGAGTGGCCATATTATTGGCCCGAGACGAAGCAAATACGCGCTACCGACCAATAAAAGATAGCAAGATTTCGCAACACGAAGGTAAAATGTTTCGCGAAAGTCTTCATCGCGGTTTCAAAGGTTTAACCCTTTACTTTGTAATATGGAGCCACATTTGTGACTCACTTTCTTCATTTTATCTTTATATGTAATATCTGAAGAACACGAGGATGAAACATATCACAAAGGTTCACATCTCCACTCATCTTTTACAACCCTTAAAAATCCTTCATGAATTTTTCATTTTCATCCAGGACAAAAATGGCTATTTTTTCTCTCTTCGCAACCCATCATCCAGGAATTAAATAAGTCTCATTCTTTACCCTCTTCATTCTCAAAATAGAGAAGAACAATTTTCCAAAAAATTCACAAATTTCTAAAAGATAGCGTTTACTTCTCTATCTACTGCATTTCTTTGTTTTCCAACGTTTTCTCGCAAGCAATCAGAGTGTCTCTCGAATAGTGTGTAGCCGGTGACATGCGAGATGACCCATCCGGTCCTCTTGTCATTCAAAACCGGACAAAAAAGCACGCGGGAATGCTGGGAATGCTGATATTGAATTCAGCATGGCCGTTCGCAGCAGTGCGGTCCAGGATTCACCGAATGTATACTTGTGTGTATATGTGTGTACCGATACAACCAGTCAACTCGTTCACGAATTCTCCACTATGTGATGTGTATGTGTATACAAACCCCCAGAAGGTTTTTCAGCAGGTCTGCGAGTGTGTTGGTGAGTCGAAGCTCACGTACCCCATGGCTGATGCAGCCACAGCCGCGGGGTGGCTGTGCCGAAGCCCGAAGGGTGGGCCATAGGTTACCTTGGCAACCAGAGGGAAAACCATTCCATCCTGCTGGCGGCACATCATGCCAGGGGCGAGTCAAGCAGCTAGAAAACCCTTCGTTGCATCCTCCCTACCTAGACTTTGGACTTGCCTATAGCCTCGCTTCGACCACCATGGGGGTGAACACTACGCGATTGTACTCCGCCATAAATATCACTGGACCATCCTGACCGAGTGCTGGCACGAGCATTATCGACGATTCAGTTGGATTAAGCTAATGTTCCATGTAGAATATTTCTAGATAACCGCCCCTTCAAAGGGTGCTGTTTGGACAGGATTTAGTAGAACGATGGGGTTAACGAATGGGCGTGAAGCTTCTGGGTGTGTTTAACCCTCTCATTTAACCCTCTGTTGAAAATTGTACCAGTAGGTTTTTATATTAAATTATCGAATTATCATAAAAAATGATAAATTTTTTTTAGCATAGTGTTAAAAAGGTCATTCTAATAGGAACTACGAGAGGATACGTCCGATGCTAGATAGTTATTTTCAAATATAGCTACGCTGATAACCCTCCATCAAAGATCTACGATAACCTTAAACGAGGCGATTGACACAACGTGACGAAAGAGGCGTGTAATATGCCTCTATGGCTTCTATATATCACAGATAACCCGAGTACCTAAAGCGATATAAAGCACGGTCATTTAATCTGACACTTGTGACATTCATTCACCGCGTCGTCGACGTTCGTTAATGGTAGAATTAATTGCTTTACACTTTTCATAATCGTAAATCAACGGATCGGTAGCAAGCCGGAGAAAGGAACGTAAAAAAGAAGAAAGATATGAACGGTGACACGTCGATTCATAAAATCTCTTGTATTTTCAATGATAAATGCTACTATGGTAACTTGCCACGACAGTAAAGGTTCCTTCAAAATCGTATGTAGCCACTTTGTTGCGAAAGGTGTATATACAGGACGTTTCACGATAAGTGCTATTCTGTTGGTACCAGAATTTATACGGTCAAGAACGTACAAGTACTTTCCTATTAAACATATGTACACTGAATTAGTAACAGTCTTGCAAATTACTGCTACGAATAACTAATTCATTTAGAACACCGACGTAAACTAAGCTTTATTAGACTGTCTCCTACCTATAACTATTTCCACTCTGATAATCAACGTGTCAAATAACATCTAGCAATGGTACGTCAACATCATTCAACAGCACTTTCACCATGAATAACTCAACATTTGTTGTTCCTGTTTTAATATCCAAGCCCAGTTGCTCCAATTAAAACGCGTTCTCCTACGCCCACCCCTGAGAGATCAAACAGGGACGATGAGAGTGATTGGTCGAACTAACTTCGTTTCTGCTTACGAATGCTCGCTAATTAGTGGTAGGTCCGCGAGTGATTTAGGGACGAAGGAGTTATGGTTGACAGTCGGTGGTCCATTTGGCAGAGGGCAACGGAGCAAAACACGGCGTCCAACGCACACGTACACGCAACCTGTAAAACGCACAGGGTGGGACGAAGGCCTGCGCCTAATTGCGGCTATATATTAAGTTTAATATCTGCTTTCGGTCGCCGCACGCTGCTTCAACGTGTTCACCGTCAAGCAGACGAGAATATTGCGGAAGTTTGCCTCCTCCCCTACCGAGGCGCCACACCACCCCCGTTCAAGATTCTATCAATGATCTCCTCCTTCTACCCCGGGATTGCGTGGCTGTCCTCTTAACTTTACGAATTTATTCGAAATCCGTGGAATCGAACTTTAAACGCCTCGATTACGCCGGATCGTTTCTACTGGGACAAAACTTATCTCTCCCTCCTCCACCCCCGCCGGCTGAATTCAACTTGATGCGACACGCGCGACTGGTATAAAGAAATTCTACGGATACCTGAGAAACTTAGAAGCTTCAACGCAAATTACAGATTTTCTGATAGTCTGCCGGTAGACTACATTTGTACAGCGTATTCCACTCAACGCGGTACATAGTAAGCTTCTCTAGAGAAAATGGTGATTTAGAGGAAGATTTCATCACTCGTTTCAGTGTTCGAGAAAAAAACATAAATAATTGCTCTGAAGATGCATTAGTGAGGAAGTGTAAGAAAACAGAGATAAGATCGCAATAGAAATTTGTCATTAATGTTAATAAGCATCGATAAATCCTGCTTAAACATTCAGTACCTGTTTGTAGCTCAGTAAAAATTATTATTCATCAATGATACAATAAGTAATGTAATCATTAATGAAATTAAGTCGATCCATAATCTATGGATATGTATATAGAAATAAACATAATTAATAACTCTACAATATTTCATAAATATAACGCATAAATCTAGCTCTAAAAAGGTATAATCTGGCCCAAAAAATTCATTTCATGAACATCTTGCATATTACTCCTTTTTCTTTACTTCCTGATACATTATTAACATTCTGAATACCTGTTCCGAGATTTTGCTCTCAATCGATGCATACCCAAACATGTTCTGGAAAAATATATTCATGGAATTTATGATGACAAAACAATTATACTGTGGTACATGTAAATAGTAATTATCCAGAATTCTTAGATACGAATCAATGGTAATCACATCTGTCTGCTCCTTGTACTCTAAAACATGATACAGC